CTATAGTATTATAACTATCTCTACTAGTTATAGTACTGAGTTCTTTTATTATATATAGCTACTTTTTTCCATTCTACTTACCCTTCTAGGATTGCTACTTATAGGTGTTACGACACCAACACAGCCGCATTAGCGCAAGGCGGATGTGACAGGCAGAATCCAGAGGATTACCGGTCGCCAATCAATCTCGAAGAACGATCACTGAGCGATCCGGGGAAACGCTTAATCTGGATGGACTTCCCGCAGAAAAACAGTCCAGTAGTGTATCACTGCATTACATGGGCCATAAACCAACCATGTGACCACCTTTGGTAATACCGGGATGTTATGGAGGATAATTACTGATTACCTAAAGGAAGCCAGATACGGCTGACATCACATGTGACCAGCTACCACGCGCTATGTCTTGGCAATGGTAGAAGGGTAGTAATAATAGTTGGTATATTGGTATCACGGGCGTCTACCATTATACCATTCTACCATCTATCTCAACTATCACCAGGAGGAACTAGGGATATATAAGGACACTCATTACTATTGTATCTAGCACTCTTAAGTTTAGTTCCTCGCATTCAATACAAGTTATTCACTTGAGTACAAGTTCACTAGTCTGATTCATCAGTTACTCTCTACTATTGAGTATACGTATTCAATAGGCCTTGCTTCTATCTTTGCTGTTATTATTCTTATGTTACCTTGAACTACCCTTGATCCTGTTCGGACCATTGTATTAATATAATGTTAGGCTACCAGGTCAGTAGGCCTCAGGTAAGTATTGGATATAGTCCAGGGACTATATCATCCCCAAAGTAGTGACTAGCAGGAACAGCAGAGACAGATCCCAGGGTGTGACAAATTGAACGCCGTACAGTACGAATCACTTTGGGAGTTTGATCGACCCTTGACATTAAACACCATGGCAAACGATGCACCACGCACACCCACCAGCTCAAATGTTGGTCGGGTACCTGCCGTACAACAGCAACAGCCACAGTCTTCAACGGAAGAGCTAAGAGGCATGGTCGAGCAACTCCAGGAACATATCCAACGACTGGAAGAACGACTTGCAGCCAAGTCTGTCAAAGTCAGACCACCTGAACCGTTCAATAGGAATAGGTCCAAGCTACAAGCGTTCCTCATACAGTTGGACATGTATATCCATATGAACAGGGAGAGACTCACCACCGAGGCAGAGAGGGTTTTGCTCACAGCAACCTATCTGACCGGACCAGCGTTTGATTGGTTCGAACCTTTCATCAGGGACTACCAAGAACACAAAGAGGATAATCAAGCCAATGAGACCGACGAAATATTCGCCAGCTATGACGCTTTTAAGGAACGATTGGAAAGCACTTTCGGCGACATCAATAAAGAAAGAAATGCCAAACAACAGTTATGGCGACTCAAGCAAACAGGATCTGTAGGGGAATATGCGTCAAAATTCCAACAGATCATATCCCACCTAAATTAGGACGAAGACATGAACATTGCACAATTTAAGGAAGGCTTAAAGCCCGAAATCCAGGAAAAGCTAATCTGGATGGAGCGACCAAATAAGCTCAAACAGATGATTGCACAAGCAGTTAAGATCAACAACAAACTGCAAGACTTCCATATGCGCAGACGAGAGCGAAGCAACTGGAATAGCTTCAGCAACAGGCACACCACAAATTATTAACCAAATGATCGGAGGCCAGCTCAGCCACGGAGCCAAGGATACGCGGATCCTTACGGGCCAAGACCAATGGAGTTGGATGCAACTCAGCAAACGGCACTTTCCGACAAGGAAAGAGAACGGCGACGCAAAGAGAAACTATGTTTCCGGTGCAGGAAGCCGGGACATATGTCCAACACCTGCAAGCAACAAACCTGGAAGGGTAAGCAGGGCGGAAAGAAACAGTTACAAGCCACAAAGGAGCTCAGTGCCACAATAGGCAGAGATGGTTATGACACCACCGGGTCTGGAGTCATCATTGGAACCATCAGACCAAAGAAAGTCAACAAACAACTTAGAAGATTGTACAAGGATTGCACTACCTTGAGTGATGAGGAAATCAAAGTGGAACTCAAGAAGGAAGACTCCACAGATTACGAAAGCACAAACAATGATTGGCCTACCAGAGACTCGAATGTCCTCGCAGCCACCAATCAGAAGTCACCCAACAGCGACGCAGACAGTCTCATCGATTGGGAGAATATTACGCCAGGAGGGCTTATTCACCAATGGACAACGTTAACCAATGAGATACGTCAGGTTATCGGCCCTGACTTGGAAAATACCAACCATGACGAGCCAGATCAAGAGGATTTTCCCGCGATAAATTGGACCACTATTGACCAACCTATCGATCCACTTGACGAAGAGTACAGAACCCAGTGGGAGGGCCTCAATCCCAACGAGGAGCAGCCCCACGAGATTCCCGAGACACCCAGAGATGATTCCCCACAAAACAATGATGAAGCAGACCAGTATGCCGCATGGCTACGACAGCCTGATCGGAAACAGTTGGCAGAATTGGAAGCATACCAACTGAATCAGAGAATCCTTGAAAAGGTTAAACAAGGAGTGAAAGGATGCATACATCAGAATTTGGAATGTTGGACCCGAGTTGAATTATGGGAACAACATATGACACATTGCAAGAAGCACATGGTGTATTGCCGACACTGTAGGCAATGGAACAGAGAATATCACCATGAGCTCAGGAGGGTATCAGAGAAAAAGCTACCAGGACTGTATCATGGGAAATGTGATTATGACTGGTGCCTGTGTAAACATTTTTGAGGACACCCGCGACACGAATAGGTACCATGGATTACCTGTTACAGCAACAACTGCAGCATCCACCATGATAACAAGTATATGGCAAAGTTTTGGCCAGAAGTACCGGCAATTGTGAAAGAAAACGACACCTGTCCATGCTGGAAGCTCGAATGCTCTTGCAGAGGATACTGGCGATACTCAGAACATGACGCAATGCATTGGACAGCATGCTTTGAGGACCAATGCATGGTACACTACCAAGGAAAACTTGTTGGAGGATACTTTCCTGGACCACCGTCAACAACTAAGGCACCAAAATGGGAAACAGAGTACCTTGCAGCAACAGTGCAACATGGGAAGCACTTAAGAATAGTTGCGAACATCCTCAACCAATCCGCTGAAGTAATGGTTGACTCAGGAGCAACAGGTAACTTTATGAATCCAGCATTCATGATAAAGCTAGGGATTCTAGGGAAAACAAAAGCAGTACCTGAACCAATCGCAGGTCTGAATGGAGAGAACTTGGGAACTCTTGCTATCATGACTGAGTCAGGACCAGTTCCAATGGTTGTGTTGGGACACTTTGAATGTCTAAACTTCGATATTGTGCCAACAGGATGGTATGATGTGGTGTTAGGGATTCCATGGCTCAGGAATCATAACCCAGTGATTGACTGGAACACGAATTGAATCCAGTTTAACTGCAAATGCCCACGACAGGACCGGACTCAAGGGGAAACCGGGGCCTTACGGCGCGTTAGGTCAAAAGATAGTGACAACGACGCTAAGCAGTCAAAGGGTGGACTGAAGAAAAAGGTAACAACCAGCCAGAGGGTAACGGCGGTGTTAGCAGCAACAAAGCCATCGCGAAGGATAGCGATGATGGAACTACCGGGATGGGCACCGGAAAGCAACAATGATTATGCAGAAATTATGACACCAGACGATGATTCCGAGGAAGAATCGGAAACCGGAAAAACTAATCCGAGGAAAATTATTCCCAGGAATGATGTTCCCAGGAATACTTTTGTTCCAGAACCCCACTTATTCTCGGCAACAACCAATCAGGAGCATGAGAATCCTGGAAACCTTGATCCCAGGAACAGTGAAGTGAGGAATAACCAATTGGGGAACAAGTCGAACACAGAAGCAGTTCTACCCCAGGAGTATGCAAAGTTCAAGACATTGTTTGAGCAACCCAAACAGTATGTCCTACCAAAATATGGTAAGCATGACCATCGAATTCCTTTACAGGAAGGAAAATCGCCAGTATGCAAGAAAATATACTAAATGTCGGAAAAAGAGCTGCAAATGCTCAAGGAGTATATTGATGAACAATTGCGACTTGGAAAGATATGACCATCGAACTCACCAGCAGGGCATGGCGTACTCTTTGTACCTAAGAAGGACGGAAGTCTACGACTTTGCGTGGACTATCGACCATTGAATGTGATCACAATCAAAGACCGATATCCACTTCCATTGATCCATGAGATCCAAGATCGAATTCGAGGAGCAAAATGGTTCATGAAGTTGGACATCACTGACGCCTACAATCACCTTCGAATTGCAGAAGGAGAAGAATGGAAAACGGCTTTCAGAACAAAATTTGGCCACTATGAGTACTTGGTAATGCCATTTGGGCTAACTAATGCACCGGCATCGTTTGAGAGGTTCATCGAGGAAGTGCTACGCAAATATCTGCACCTCTTTGTGATAGTCTATTTGGACGACATCCTGATCTTCTCTGAGAATGAGGAACAACATGTGGAGCATGTCAGCCTAGTACTGTAAGAACTGCAGGAAGCAGACATCGGGTTGAAGCTGAAAAAATGTGAATTCCATGTCTAAGAGACTGAGTTCTTAGGGCACTGGATATCCACGGAAGGGATCTACATGGACTGGAACAAGGTAAAGGCAATTGTTGATTGGCCTTAACCAAGGAACGTCAAAGAAGTACAGTAATTCCTTGGATTAATCAACTATTACCGACGATTTATTGAAGAATATGCCAAGGTGATGACACCACTCTTTTTGCTACTTAAGAAAGAAAAAGAATTTGCATGGCAACAGGAACATGAAGAAGCTTTTGCAGAAGTCAAAAAATGAATTACAACTGCACCTATTCTTGTGCAACACGACCCAGAAAAAGAAATAACGATCGAGACCGACGCATCAGACTATGCGATTGGGATGCGAATGACTCAACCAGGAGATGATGGAAAGCCGCGACCAGTTGCATTCCATTCAAGAAAGCTGATCCAAGCAGAACTTAACTATGATATCCATGACAAAGAACTGCTAGCCATAGTGGTAGCATTCAAGGTCTGGAGGGTCTACCTGGAAGGAGCATAACACACTGTTACTGTAAAAATAGATTACAAGAACCTCATGTTCTTTACCACAACAAAAGAACTGACAAGGAGACAAGCCAGATGGGCTGAGACACTCTTGCAGTATGACTTTAGGATCATCCACTGCAAGGGGACTGAAAACGGGCAAGCTGACGCGCTTAGTTGACAACCAGATTATGAATTCCAAGGGAAAACGGTTGAACCAGTGATATTGAAACAACAGGAGGATGGGTCGCTAATGTACAACCATCACACTCTTGCAGCCATGATTGAGCTACAAGAGGACCCACTCACCCAAAAAATCATTGAAGCAACTAAAAAAGACAAAATTATCCAAGAGACACTTGAAAATTCAGCGGACAACGAACACCTCACCACAGACAACAGAGGAATAATATATTTCCAAGGACTCATCTACATACCCGAGTGTATGAGAACTGAGATTATTGCGAAATATCATGACGACCTAATGCATGGCCATATGGGAACAGAAAAAACAGCTGAAGCCATTTCAAGAAATTATTATTTTCCAAACATGAGAAGGAAGGTACAAGGATACATTCACTAATGCGAAACCTGCATCAGAGATAAACCCGCTAGGCACCAGCCTTACGGAAAAATGCAATCACCAGAAGCACTAAAAAGACTGTGGGAATGGATAACTATTGACTTTGTCGGACCACTACCAAAGTCAAAAGGGTATGATTACCTAATGACGGTCACAGATAGACTTATGAAGTTCATCCATCTGATTCTAACGACAATGAACATGACAGCATTGCAACTGGCGAGTCTACTCATGGGACACATGATTGTGAATCATGGGATGCCACGATACATCATATTGGATAGAGATAAATTGTTCACGTCAAAATTTTGGCAATCATTGATGGACTTGATGGGAATTGAGCAAAGACTCATGACTGTGTATCATCCGCAAGCCAACGGACAAACTGAAAGAACAAACCAAATGATCAAGCAATATTTGTGACATTATGTGAATTACCAACAAGATGATTGGGTAGTCTACTTACCAATGGCACAGTTTGCATACAACAACACTGTTCACTTAACCACAGGGGAGACACCTTTCTTCGCTAATTATGGATACAACCCCACACTGATTGGAGAACCACGACACAAAGTACCCACAGTGGAAGAAGCTGAAGAAATGGTGGATACTATTGATTATTTAAGGACTCAACTTTTGAGGGATATTGAATTTATGAACCTCCACATGGTAATTTACTATGATAAAAAGCACGGGAGTGCTCCAGACTTGAAAAAGGGGGAGAAGGTTTACCTACTCCATAGAAACATTAAAACAAAAAGACTAAGCCAAAAACTGGACCATTAGAAAATTGGACCCTTCGTCATCAAAGAAAAAAAGGGACTAGTTAATTTCAAACTATAACTACTAAAGAGCATGTCAAAAATTCATCTAGTATTTCATGTCTTATTATTGGAACCAGCGCCAGAAAAAGCAAAAATCGCTGAAGATGTGGAAATCGATGATGACACTGAGCAAGAATATGAAGTTGAACAGATCCTAAACCACAAACGAGTCAGCGGACGACCATACTACCTTGTGAAGTGGAAAGGATATGATACCTCAGAAAACACATGGGAGCCTATCAAGAATTTGAGGGGCTGCTACCAACTCGTTCAACAATACTGCTTGAGGAAAGATCGAAATTCTCCCAGAAGGAGAGGGGCATCTGATCGATCTCCGCCACCATCTGATTAAAATCAGGATTGTTGGAAGTCGCAGCCAGCTGCTGAACCTCAGCAGCGGGATTGGGCTGATTGGACAACTTCTTCTCATCCAAGATCCGCAATAACTCAGCATTATGTTTAGACATCTTAAAACCACGCTCTTTGAGAAACTTTTGTTGTTTATGAAGACGGGAATGTTGAGCAAGGGACTTGGCAACTTTCTGTTGCTTCTCCATTAATTCCTTCTGAATCTTTTCTAAATGCTCCTGCAACTGTCGAAGCTCAGGGTAGAGGAGCTCTAATTTGTCATTGGTCGTGGAAAGCTTGGAAGCAATCTTCTTCTCAGCTTGTTTGAACAGATCCCACTCCTTTTCGGTATGGAAATCCTTCTTGCATGAACGACCTTGACGAGTGCACGACGCACATTTTGAATAACAACAGGTTCGATCCATCACGCAATCTTCACCAGATGAGACACAGTAATCGCACGGAGTCGAAGTCACAAAACCGTTCTCAAGAATGTATTCTTCTTGACGAATATGACCAGCGATTTGATCACGGTCGCAAGGAAGCTTCAGTGCACCTTTAAGAACAGTGTCAGCGCGACGCTTGGGCATGATGGATGGATATGGTTGAAAAAGAAAAATCACTCACCTAGGGAAGCGCCGCCTTTTGAATCAAGTTTTGAGGACGAAACGCTAGGAGAGGGGGAGGTGATGTTATGACACCAACACAGCTGCATTAGCACAAGGCGGATGTGACAGGCAGAATCCAGAGGATTACTGGTTGCTAATTAATCTTAAAGAACGATCACTGAGCGATCCGGGGAAACACTTAATCTAGATAGACTTCCTGTAGAAAAATAGTCCAGTAGTGTATCACTACATTACATGGGCCACAAACTAACCATGTAACCACCTTTGGTAATACTGGGATGTTATGGAGGACAATTACTGATTACCTAAAGGAAGCCAGATACAGCTGACATCATATGTGACTAGCTACCACGCGCCACGTCTTAGCAATGGTAGAAGGGTAGTAACAATAGTTGGTATATTAGTATCGCGGGCATCTACCATTATACTATTCTACTATCTATCTCAACTATCACCAGGAGGAACTAGGGATATATAAGGACACTTATTACTATTGTATCTAGCACTCTTAAGTTTAGTTCCTTATATTCAATACAAGTTATTCACTTGAGTACAAGTTCACTAGTCTGATTCGTCAGTTACTCTCTACTATTGAGTATATGTATTCAATAGGCCTTGCTTCTATCTTTGCTGTTATTATTCTTGTGTTACCTCGAACTACCCTTGATCCTGTTCAGACCATTGTATTGATATAATGTTAGGCTACCAGGTTGGTAGGCCTTAGGCAAGTATTGGATATAGTCCAGGGACTATATCATCCCCAAAGTAGTGACTAGCAGGAACAGCAGAGACGGATCCCAGGGTGTGACAATAGGCATTTAATATATATCCTAGCTTCCTATACTAGAAGTATAACTTTTCTTTCCTTTACTGTTCTCTCTCCTTGCTGGAGAGTACTATTTATTAAGTTATATCTAACTCTATTAGTCTTAGCCTATAAGGATCTATATATCCTTAGCTTTATAGCTGAGCTGGCCTCCTATTATTTAGTTAATAGTTTATAGTATATCTATTACTAAAGCTATTCTAGTTACTTTAGTCTCTCCTGTGCATGTAGAAGTCTTGTAGTTTATTATTAATCTTAACTACCTGTGTAATTATTTTGCTAAGCTTATCTAGTTACTCTATCTAGATTAACTTCTCCTAGATTTCTGGCTTTAAGCCTTCCTTAAATTATATAATATTTATGTCCTCATCCTAACTTAAATAGGATATGATCTGTTGGAATTTTAATATATATTCTCTAATAGATCCTATTTACTTAAGTTACTATAACTATCACTTAGTATTCCTTTCTTTATTAATATTGCTAAAAGTGTCCTCTAATTACTTCTTAAAAGTATTATAGCTGGTGAATATTTTATTAGTCTTAGGGGCTTAATTATCCTCTTTATATTCTTAGTAGTCCCTGATAAATAGTTTAAACTAATTAAACACTAGTCTAGTTAGATAGGTTACTATAAGTAAGACCCTTTCTACCTTAGTAGTGAGTCTTTCCCTATTTATATAGATATATATATCTAGCTATATAAGGAATGCTTATAGCTTGGACCTATTTCTATTAAATAGTTTAGGTAGTCTGACCTTAATAGACTTAGCTACTAGTTAACCTTCTAGTTATTAGATATACTTCTAGAGCTGCTCAACCATGCCCCTTAGTTCTTCTATTAAAGACTATAGCTATTACTATTATATAGTAGGCACCTAACTAGCATTTAAGCTAGTAGGGGTTTATAGTACATTCCCTGCTATAATATTTAATATTAAGAGTTAATCAAACTTCCTAAAGTAATTTATTCTATATAGTATTTAATTTATCACACCCTGGGATCTATCTCTGCTATTCTCTACTAGTTAACTACTTTAGGAATAGGGTAATATAGTCCCTAGACCATATCTGATACTTGCCTGAGGCCTACCAATAGGTAGTTATAATGATGCAATAATATAATGATCTAAGAGGATCAAGGATAATCTAAAGGTAATATAAGAATAATAATAGTAGAGATAGAAGCAAGGCC